TCTTTCCCTGCAATGCCTGACCTGAGGATTTCCTGACCGTACAGTCCTCTATTAGGTGTAAGCTGTGTAAGTCCTACAGAGTTTAAAAACAGCAGAAGATGGGAAATATGCAGTGCTCTGATTATGTAGGTTCAATTTTTTCCTTAGTCTCTAAAATTAATTGTTTTCTTTTGACCAGTCATATTTACAGTTTAAATTTCTAATTTACCATGCAAGTGATCTTCATTGTAGAGTTTTTTCTCTGTTTGAGAAAAAGATTTGATTCAACTAAATTATGTATGTTAAAAAGTTTGCATGCTAAGTTGCATAGTAGAATGCTTTGTTAATATTCAAGAACATATACCTAAGGTACCTATATGTAGGTGTATGTATTGACAGCTTGGGAGCTACACATGGTTTAATAAAAGCTGAGGCAAGAGACAGGCCTGTCCTAAACCTTCCTGTTTCTTTCTAATACTTTAACACTCATAGTTTCTAGTGCATTATGTTAGCTTTTTTCGAAAGCTGTTGAGTTCTGTGTCCTAAATGACACTACGGAGGCCTGATGACCTGAAGACCGAATCCTCAGGTCGCAACCCACAGCTAATTTTGGTGAGAGAGTTTCCAGGCTAGTACTTTTTTTAATTCTTCCTTGGTATAGACCCAAATTTGTCGGCGTACTACAGCCACATTTGTCAGCCACACATCAGAGAATCCCAAGTATGCATTTCATGAATGAAATTGCCTTAATGATGGCTACGAAGAATTAAAATATTCTTTTAAGTGCTTAAGAGAATTTGCAGATGCACACACTGTAGGATCTTTATGGTCCTGCTTTTATCTATTACTATAGATTTTGCAAAGTTGTATGACAGTTAGATTTGGCGCTCAAAAATAATTCAAACTGCAGTAAGCGAAATGGAAATAAAGAAGTTGAGCTGAAATGCTGCATAACTAGTTAAAGAAGAAGTGGAAGTCATTTGAAGTGTACATGTCTCGCTTTTATCTGTTGGATCTCTCTTTTCAAATGTGATCTGTCCTATGAAAAGTGTGAGAACTAACAAACATAAAGCATCTCTACCGAAGATGCATGCTAATGTGAAGAGCCGTGCTCATGCTGAGATGATTTACCTCCCCTCAGTTTACTTGGCTAAATATACTAAATGTAAAAAGGAGAGAGCCTAAAATATAGCAAATAAACAAAATTAAAACCTGAGCCACTAACGATTACATTCCTGCAGGCAGAAGAAAAAAGGGGTCAAATGGCAGTTTGTATTTTAGTACTAGAAAACATGCACACTTTTTATATGATTCCCCCCCCCCCCCCACCCGGGTGATATGAAACCTGTGCAAGTACAGTCTTTAATTTCAGGGCTTACAACTTCAGAACTCTAGCTTAAATTTAGTATTTGTTTCAGTATACATACTCCTCAATCTTTTGAACAGAAAGGGAGGAGATTTGAGCTCTGAAAGACAAATTGCCAGCTAAGTTTTTGGTTCCCTTGTCTCTTCAGGAGGAGCTATGAAAATGTTAGACAGACCTCTTATATTTTGTGCTCAAAGGGATGCGTACCATCCCTATTTTTTGAGATAAATGATAGCTGAATTATTGTCTGTTGAACAGTCTATCTTATTTTGCCAGTATAATAGGAAAAAAGGATCCTTTTTAATGGGGAAGGTGTATAAAAATCATATCACTTGTAATATTTCTTTAGCTTTGTGGCATGAAGATCAGTAATAAGGAGAAAGACGTGTGGTGATTGCGATTCAGAAAAAGAATTCCTCCTAAAAACTTTGAAAGACATACGTGTCAGAAGGTAAAAGAGGAATTAGCTCGTAAAACTTCGAATTCTTAAAATACCCTGTTGCAATATTTAGATGTGAGAAGAGTGACTGAGGAGTTCTTGAGCTGATAATAGAGACTGTTTCATAGACAAGGAGCTGTGCATGTAATAGAGCGAGCTGTGCATTCACGACCATCGTATGGATTTGTTTTCAGGCGCTCTCGTATTATTAAAGTATTCTGCGAGGTTCAGTGAATGACTTAAGAACCGCAATGCTTCCCTTGCTATGCATTAGTGTAATTTAGGTTACTATTGCTAAAAAAATTGTCAAAGCTAGTGCAGTATCAGATGTTTCCCTGCGACTGTCAAAAGGCTGTATTATAAGAAAGGACTTGAAATAACTTGTTGGTGCTGTGGGTCAACAGATCCTTTAAATAAAAATTAACTGGCAGCATAGTAGTATGTGAACATAAAATACCACAGAATTTCCTCCACGAGCCTTGTCTCTCCCATCCAAAGATCATTTATCCTTCCTACCACATGGAAATATTCAGTATAATGCAAAAAAGAAATAGTCTTTCTGGAATTGTTTGCTGTGAAAAAAAAAATAAATTAAAAAGTGAATTCTTTTCTGTACTTACATATCTGTAGCTTCTTGGATTCCCTGAGCAGTTAAGGGCATTAGCAGGATGACTTGACTGCAAAAGTTTACCCTTGCACATTGTTTTCAAGAGTGATTACGTGAGTCTCATTTGTGGGAGGGGTAGGGTTTTTCAAGTGCTTAAAAAAACCCCTTGTTTGTATGTTGGTCTTGATTTGCTGCCTACTGTTTTATGGGATGTGAAAGCATCTATTTTTAATCCTTTTACAATCAGTCTGTTCAAAGAGAGTAATTAGAAAGAACCCTCCCGCCTCCCCCCCTGAAGTTACGCATTACTGACTTTCACAGAAGGGACTTTACCCAGAGGTTTACTTGACTAATTGTTGACCAACTAAAACCCCTGAGCGAAGAACTTTGTTGAGATGCCATTTGCGTTTAAAAATAACTGAAGTGTAGTTTGTAGCAAAGAGCTGTACGATCAGTACACGCTTCAAAACTGCTTCTTACTGATCAGATCTGATACAGCACAAGAAAACCTCGGAACTGAGGCATACTGAGATGCTGTGTAAAAACAGACGTCTCGACAGCCCGTGTACATTCCCGGCACTGTTTTAGTATCGTAATGATGAGGAGACTTTACAGAAATGCTCTTTGACAGTGTATGAGGGAGTTGAAAAACTCCAGTGGTTTGAGAGATTAATGAGGATGTGTGCCTTTGTAAGCTGTTTATTGCATTTTGAGCAAGGATAATACTCCTAGTACTACTACTACGCATGTAAGGTAAATACATTAAAGATAAAAAGCTTTTAAAACACAGATCTGGATGCCCTAAAATGATATCGATAAGAATGCGTGGCTAAGGAATGGAAAAGGAATGGGATGTCAAATTGCAAGGTAAGCCGTTGTTACCTGGAATAACCTTGTTTCTGGGTAAAGACCGGCGATCTAAGCGTTAAATTATGTGTTTATTAAGAGGGTTTTGGAGATCAGAGAGAGATGGAAAATCCTGTCATTTGCTGTTAGAGGCTGTGGTCGAGAGTTACCTGGGATTTTCCCCAAAAACTCATACTGATCGTTCATGACTGCAAAGGACTATTTATCTTTAAGGTGGCCTCATTTAGTTAGTGGCCTGATTTTAAGGAACCAGCAAGTAGGCATGGTGATGCTGTTTTTGGTGAGTCCAACCCATGCGGAGGGTGGAATGTCTCTTTGGAAACGTTAGGGCTGTGTTCACGACACCAGCGTTTGCTGGCGTTGCAGTGTTGGAGGCGTGCAGAGATACGATCTCAATGAACATGTCCATCTCATCAGAAAGCCTAAAGTAAACGCAGATCTAACGACAAAGTTAAACTTTACTGAATGTACCTTGTCTTATGGGAAATGTTTTTACTATAGCAGAATGAAGTAGAGCCTTGTGAGCTAATTTGGTGCCTGCCTGGAGCATTTAGTTGGCACTATACGTTGATTTTTCTGGTGCTGAACTCCCAGCGCAGACATGCCTCGATTGCCCTTAGGTGCCAGGGAGCCGAAGGGCTCAGTCTAGGGCTTTCGGCTCCTCAGTTTTTATGGGGCATTTATTTTCTAACGCCACATTCGGAAAGTCTTTGAGAGAACTTACTGGTCTTATTCTGGATTTTTTCCTTTCTTGTTTTTGAATTATTTTTTAATTATTCAGCTTCATCACGGAGTAGGATCCCTTTAAATGAGGTAATGAGAATTAAAGACTGTTTAAAGGGAAATTGCATAGGGAACTTGCTTCCTATGTACGCAAAGTAATACTGCAATGTGGTTCCCTGACCAGCAGCAAAAATACATAGTAGAATGGGAAATTTGAAGATACACAGGCATGTAGTAGTCTTTGCTCAAGGGCTGACATTAGTACCACAGCTTCATGTTGAAGGAAATGTTTATTTCAAAATAGTCTTACCGTGATAAAATAATGCCAATATGTGTTTCCTGCTCTGATTCGCCTTCCTTTGATTAAGATACATTACTAGACTGTACCCTTTGAGTTACGTTGATGTATTAGCTACCAATCCAGCCTAGCATGATGTGATGTTAATTACTTGAGCTAAATGATACGAGCTGCATTCTTTCACTACTTATCCTTCTAGCCATTTGTTTTCTGTTCTTATACAGGTGCTGTTTCTCCAGTATCTGTTTGACTGTCCCAGGATTTGAACATTTAAACCAAAAAGTGTTATCAAAAAGTGTGATACATGTGTGGGTTTACCATTTGTGTGCAAAAACTTGCCAAAAGTTTTGCTTTTGGCATGCAAGGAGAGTAACCTGTAAATTAATATAGCAGTTTGTTACTTTCAGAGGTGGTGACATCAAAGCGGTACAGTTAATATTTTGGCCAGCATGCTATGATGCCTGTGATGATTTATTTTCTGTCTGCTTACTTAGTCCCTAGTCTATTTGAACAGTTCACAAATGGTACTGGATTTGGCTTTACAATTCTGTATTGAGAGAGCTACTACCCAATGTAAGAAATGACTTCTGAATTACACAGGACGTTTATGGATCAACCAGAAAATGAATCCAGACAGCCTGTTTCTTAACTGCAAAACTTCCCTTCCTTCCAAAACTAACTCCTTTTGTTTTCTGGGAGAGTGGTCAGGTATCTAGAACTAAGCTGTAGCTGAATCCTGTCTTTTTTTGTGGACAGACATGATTTCTCAAGTGACTCGAGTTAGCGGAAGAGTAAATGATGACTCACCAGTGAGTCACGGTAACTGCACAGGCCAAATAAAATGTGTTAGGTTAATCTAGATGGGGAAGAAGAAATTAAGCACCCAAGCTTAGATGAACTTGGGGCGCTAAAACTTTCAGTACAGCTGTTGAACTGTACCTCCTCAACAAAATACTCCACCATCTAAATCCCTTCAGCTTTTCCTCATGCCTTCACATGTCTTCTGCCTCGCTCCAGTTTCTGTGCCAGATTTCGCAGATTGTGGGATTCACTGGGAGCCCCTGCCTTTTAGAAACGTGCAAGCTCCTCTCTCTTGCTGAACACAAACTCTGGTTTGGTTAACATGATCAATCATGAAAGCAAACCTGCCTGGTAAACTGTCACCATCCATCACTTGCTGCAGACATCTGATGCAGAGCAGCAACTGTCAGTGGGTAAGCAATGGTAACGAACTCTGTAACACCTAGCTGACATTAATAACTTATCAGTTAAGGATAAATAGAGTGATGCAGTACTCATTTGTGGCACAGGATTTGGCCAGCCGTTCCTACAATGCTCCATCGGTTTCATTGGTATCTCCATACGTTGGCCTTCACATGAATGGCAGCATACTAATCATATTTTAAATAAAGGACAGGGGCCTTGATTTAAAAAAACAAAAATAAAAAATTATCTTCATATTCAGCTTGTAGCACTAATTCCTTGATGGTTTGCAGGAATTGCTTGCCTGAGGGCAGGATATTGTGAATACCTAACTGAAGAAATTTTGTGTTGTATATTACAGCAGGCTGGTAGAATAGAAATGGTCGGGTATTGTAAGTCAACTTTGCACAACGACGGTTGAGGGGAGATAGGATTAACTGATCTTTTTAGAAAAAGCTAAAGAAAAATGATTACATATCTTAGCATCTTATTAATGATGAATAAATGAAAACTGAAATTGGAAGAAAGATTCTAGCCAGCAGAAGAGAAAAGATCTGGTTTAGCTCACCAGTGGGAAGGGAAAGGAACTTGAAACTGGTTTACAAAGGAGCCGAGCAGTTTATGGAATAAATTGTTGGATAGTCTTGCATTGAAAACTAAAGCATTTTGTAGGAGAGATAGATGTCTGACTTCTGTCTTCATGAGGGGATTGTAAAGTGTTCGGTCAGTTGGTTGGTCTCATATTTTAATGAACCCAAAGTTGCAGTGATTCTGCTGAGATATCCATGGACAGGAGGGACCTTTCTTTTCCCCTCAAGAGGTACAACTTCAAGTTTTGTCTTGGAGTTTTTTTCCCACTGTCTTCCTGCATTCCTGTGAAATCCTGGCAGTTAGATACATGAGTATTGGGTAACGTACCCTAATGCTTTTGCGGGTGTCGAGGGGCCTCAGGCACTGGGGTGTCCTGCTCATGTGTAGCGAAAGGCTTGGGTGCAGTAGATGGTTCCTTGGAGTCCCGGACTGCATCAGGCAGAGGGTCCCAACTACCAAGGGTGGTCATATTCCAGGGAGTTCCCTAATTTTAAGGAATGTTATCGAGAATGTTTTAACATTTTCAGAATAAAGGCTGGCACCTGAAGTGTGATACGGCAGTGTCTGGACAGCCTGTAGGAACGCAGAGCACTGAAGTAACCTAGTAACTTGAATTACAAGCCCACTGTTTACGTGCTCTGTATTATCTGCAGCTGCTTTTATAACTGATATTTTCAGTTCCCCCGAAAATACATGGTTGTGAATTTGTCAGGTTAATGTTTTTATGAAGAACTTAAATGAAGAAGAATACAGTGCCACATTTAGTAAGTGTAGTGAGTTATTCTGAATAAAATAACAGGTTATTTCTGCAAGTTCAATCCTGCAGAACTTCCACTGACAATGATAGGTATTTTTGCAGAAGTAACATTTAGCTTTCTACCCATTTGTTCATACAATTTAGAACACTTTTCTGTAATTTGTCCATACGTTTACTGAAGTTAAAATGTTTTTCATCTATATTTAATAGTCAGCCTTTTAAACTTTAAGTAGCATGTTTCTCTTATGAGAAGTACTTGCCCTTGATTCTTTTCTGCCAGTAGCTTCTGCATCTCTGGTTTATTTTTTTCAAGGTTATTGTTTCTTCAAGTTGTTTTTTTTTCTCTGTGCAAAGCCAATCTCATCACTTCATATGATGTAGGATGTTCCCATCTGGTCTGCTGTGTTTCTTTTTCACTGCAAACATTGAAATTTAACATGCTTTTCAAAATTAGGATATAGTTGTTGTTCAACCCGCTATTACAGTACAAGTTCGGGATGAACATGATGTCCATATAGAGTGTTCAAACTCTAGAATTTAATCTTTCATGTTTGAGAGTTTTCTGGTTTACTTGAAAATTTTATTTTCTAACCCACATGATTGAAATTAACTGGCTAAACGTGAAGTGGGCATAAACTCAGTTTAGAGTTAGCAAGTATTTGTGTCTATGGCCCTTCTTTGTACATAGACATCTGAAGTTTCTAGCAGAAGTTAATTGTGGCACTTAGAATCATTATGGTTGGAAGAGACCTCAAAGATCATCAAGTCCAACCGTATACCCAACACCACCATGCCCGCTAAACCCACTGACCCATGTCTCGAAGTACCACATCTAAATGTTTTTTGAACACCTCCAGGGATGGTGACTCCACCACGTCCCTGGGGAGCCCGTTCCAATGCCTAACGACTCTTACAGTGAAGAAGTTCTTCCTAATATCCACCCTGAACCTCCCCTGGCGCAACTTGAGACCGTTTCCTCTTGTCCTATGGCTAGTTACCGGGGAGAAGAGACCAACCCCCACCTGGCTACACCCTCCTTTCAGGCAGTTGTAGAGGGCGATCAGGTCTCCCCTCAGCCTCCTCTTCTCCAGACCAAACACCCCCAGCTCCCTCAGCCGCTCCCCATCAGACTTGTGCTCCAGACCCTTAACCACCTTCCTTGCCCTTCTCTGGACTCGCTCCAGAACCCCAAGGTCTTTCTTGTAGTGAGGGGCCCAGAACTGAACACAGCACTCGAGGTGTGGCCTCACCAGTGCCCAGTACAGGGGGACGATCACTGCCCTGGTCCTGCTGGCCACACTGTTTCTGATACAGGCCAGGATGCTGCTGGCCTTCTTGGCCACCTGGGCACACTGCTGGCTCATGTTCAGCCGGCTGTTCACCAAATAGAATCATAGAAAAAGGTTGTTCCTGATATTCTCATAGTATAATGAACAAAGAGCTGGGATGAAGGCCTCTGGAAAAGGAGAGAAAGTAGAGGAAAGGAGATTAAAAAGAATGAGGGGAAAAGCGAAAACAAGAGGAAAAGAGAGAAGTGAAAAAGAAAGAGAATTGAAGTAGTCCTTCAATAAGAGCATGCTTTCCACTTGTAGATGTTGAATCTGACTATATGTTACCAAACAATTAATTGACATAACTAGAAGAGTTAAGAACCAGTCCTTTTATTTAAAGTACCTGGATGGATGTTTGTACCTGTCTAGTGAAATACAGGAACAGAAATCCCTCCAGTGATTATAGGCTTCAGGAACAAGGCTTTGATTCTTCACCGAATAATAAGAGTAGCTTAGGTTTGACAGGACCTCTGACAGTCATCTAGTTCAACCCTGGCTTCAAAGCGTGTCCAGCAAGAGCAGGTTACTTAGGACTGTGTGTCCGGGCTCTATCTCTGAGGATGGAGATTCTAGCTCCAGGCAACCAGATACGGTACCGGACCATCATGACCCCCAGCTAAACTTGCTGCAGTATATCCATGCCTTTCTGGAAGTGAGGAACCCAAAAGGGGACACAATGATTCAGGTTCAGGCTCAGAAGTGCTGAGCAATCACTTTCCTTGGCCTGGTGACTACGTGCTTGATAATGCAACCCTGTATGCGATTGACCATTCCTGCAAGGGCAAACTGCTGATTAACATTCGAAGGATTCTCCAGCTTCTTGTCTGCAAATCTGTTTTCTAACCAGTCTGTACTGGTTATTCCAACCCAGGAGGAAGGCTCTGCTGTTGCTTGTTTTGAACTCCGAAAGGTTCCTGTGAGCCCATTTCTCCAGCCCGTCAAGGAATATCTGAATGTGACCCTGCTGTCCAAAGTATTGACTGCTCCCTCCAATTTGACCTCATTCCCCAACTTGCTGGAATTGCACTCTGTCCCATCATCCAGGTCGTTAATAAAGACAATAAATACTGTTGGCCCCAGCATGGATCCCCGAGGGAAGCTGCTAGGAACTGGCTGCTGTTGGGACTTTGTACTGCTGGTCAGAACCCTTTGAGTCCGGCAGTGCAGCCGGTTTTCCTCAAATCTGCTTATCCAGTCCATATCTCCCCAGTTTTCCTTCAAGGACACAAGAGGAGACTGAGTGAAAGGCCATCCTAAAGTCAGAGCCTACAACATTCGCTGCCTTCACCTTCCTTGTCCACAGCGCCAGAGTCGCCCTTGGTAAACCCATACGGGACGTAGGCAATGGCGTTGTCCGTCACCTGGCTGGCAATGGCTTCTAGGACATTTACTCTATAACTTTCCCAGGGACAGAGGTGAGGCTCGTAGCTACCTGAATCCTCCTCTTGCCCTCCTTGAAGATGAGTGTGACATTTCCATTTTTCCAGTCATCAGGAACCTGCCCTGCTCTCCACAATGTTTTGGTGATAGTAACATCAGCCCTCTCCCTCAGCACCCTGAGGTACAGCCCATCTTCCTTTACAGCAAGTGTTGCTCCAGTCCCATAGCAGGCTCAGGGACCCGGGAGGCCTGAGGGCAAAACTAACCAGTGAAAACTGAGGCAAAAAAGGCATCAAGTACCTTGACTTTTTTCATGTCCTTTGTCATTAGGTCCCTTTTTCCATCAGGCAGTGAGTCCACATTTTCCTTAGCCGTCTGCTTGTTGTCCCTTACTGTGTCACTCATGTTCTAGTATTGTAGATAACGTCTCTGACAGACCTGCTGTAGATAAGCAGCATCTCCATATAGATGGTCAAAAACAAGGCATGAGTAATAGATGGAAAATTCTGAGGGCAACAGAAAAGATTAATTGAAATTTCCTAAGTAAAAGTACAGAATTATGTAATGAAAGTTGAGGGTGAAAGTTTAAAATTAATGGAAATAAATTTTCACACAGCAGAGTCACCTGTACAAATGAGTTTCACAGAATATTTTGAAGAGCATTAGTTTTGACATTTTAAAAAAAAGATACCTGAATGGGTATTTATGTAATAACTATTTATACTAGATGTGAACTCTGTCTAAAATCCAAGAACTGATGCCTTTGGAGGCATACGTCTGCGTGCCTACAAACGTACTGGTTTAGGAGAAAAGGTCCATCACTAGGTTTCCTCTAGCTCCTCTAGACTGTCGGGTACTGAGCAGTGTCGGACACTGGACTTTGAATGACACGGATCACTACCCTGGACTGGGATGGTGCTTTCTGTGGTCTCTGTTGACATTAATGGTGAATATTAACATTTAAGGAACCTTTCAACATTCTCTAATCTCTTTTTAAAATGCACTCGCAGTCATGGGAAATTCCTTTTTGTACTTTCCCATCTTACGATTGCGTGCAGTCTCGCAAGTGAAATCTCTGTGTCACTGTTCATCACAGGAGGAATAAAACCTGAAAAGCGTGCCACAGTTTTGGTACTCCCTCAGGTCATTTGGGAAAAGTAGGAAGAAATCATTTAAAATTACATTTCTAAGAAGGGAAAAGATCTTTTTTTCTTTGTTTTTCTTCTCTCTTCACTTATAAAACCTGATTTACTTCAGTGAATACTGTCTACAATGGAAGCACTCTGATGAAGAATTAATTTTGTATGTGGTACTCTTATAGCTGTGCCTATCACTCCTACAACTTAAATTATTTGAATTTATTTTGAGAACGTGGTGCGTGTGTTTATACAGGTGTTCTTTGTTTATGTAAGAAGGATTATGTGCAAAATTTAACATTTTTCAGTAGTTCCTGAGTTAGCATTCTCTATACATTCAAGTGCATCTGTGTGTGAAACGGATGGTACTAAAAATGTTTCTATAATTAAACTGTATTTAAGTCCTCAGAGAGGAAGCTTTTCAGCAAGCTGAACTTCAAATATAACAAACAAAATGATAGCGAAATGCTCTTAAGCCACGGCCCATTAAATGAGTAAAAATAATGTTTGAAGGGGTTTTTTTTTCATAGCTGTGGGTGTTGCGTTTGGCAGTTATTCAGGAAACATAAGTTTTATTATTCAGACCATCATTTCACATAGTATTACTCCTATCAGTAGTTCCTCCTGAAGGGAAATGTCTTTGAGTGAACACTTCAAGTTAGTTAGGTCCTGGTTTGTGACATTTGCGGAATTCCCTCTGAGTATAAAAGATCCCTTTGGTGTAGAGGCCTGTGGAAACTCCAACTCTTGAAAGTTTTGATAAGCCTGGCGAGCTGCCTGGAGGTCACCGCTGCTGGCGGGGTGGGCCGTGGCTACCTGAAGTGACTTTTTCTTCTTCCCCTTCTCCATCCTAGGAAGTATTCTTCTTCTAGAATCTCCTATATCCATGCCTTTGGCATTGGTTCTGCTGCAACCTCTCCTGTTGGTTTTAATAGGTGTTTTAGTTTTCTGGGCGTTTTATCATGAGGAACATAGGCTTTGTATCTGGGTATATGGATGAAATGCACTGGTTTGTGTTCACAAGTTCAATCTAGGTATCTGGTCATTGTAAAAGGTGCCTGAGCCTTAAATTCTATGAAACTGCTTCCAATGAAGGTTTAGAAACCTAATAAATATCTTGTGCTGTGATTAAGGTGAGGACCCCTGAGAAAGTTAGTTATTTTTAGGGCTGTGGAAGTCCCTGGCAAAGGGAAGTTAAATCAAACTGTTGATATTCCCATCTTAGATACTGCAGTCTATTGGCAATCCTTTAACACTTTAAGCCTGGGTAAATAATAGGAGCTTAACTTCATAAGTGAAACGGTTTCCATAACCTTTCGGGAAAGGTATAATCCTTACCATTTGTCCATTTGAATCAAAGAGGTTTTGTTCTGATGCAAGAGACTGCCGCTGTTCTTTTTGTGTGCTGTATTTTATAGAAACACTCTGCTATTAGACTAAATATGTTGCGTTCTCTCTACTGCTTCCAGTCTTAAACATTTGGAAGTAAGATACTTTTTGTCACCTGTTCTTCTTATTTGCTAATGAATCTGTTGTCCTGAATGCCGCAAGTTATCTAATTGTTGGTTCCCAAGGAAGACCTTTGTTTGCAAAGTGGTACTTTGGATTACGTTTTGATTGTTACATACTTGGGATTAATTACTTTTGATTGTTTCATGCTACTCTTGCTAGTAACATTCTTATTAATCATCTGTATCTTTCTTTTTGCAGCTTGGGTCCTGTGTTTGCGCTGTTTGTACCATTTTATTCCTCCATTCCAAGAGTGCAGGTGACACAAGTATTAGGCCACTTTTCTATCACAAACAAGACACTAGTCTACATACTGGGTTTACAGGTATGGTATGTACTTGCTTGTTCATCTTTTAATGGATTACTAATGTAGTAGTTAGTATTTCTGTATGTTTGTCTATGAATTTTCATGCTTCCTTATGTATCGTTCCACATATGTTTAGCTAGTGACTGTCCCATCAACTAAAATATTGAAAAGCATGTGTTACTAGTATGCATTTCTACATGCGGAAGTGGTGAGCAAGTGATCTGTTGTCCTCTGTCCTGATTGTCTTGCATGGGGAAATATAACAGACAGTTCTACAATATTTTTTTTTTAACAACAAAATGAACTAGATGAAAATAGATGAAAACAGAACCTGATGCTAAGGTATATCTATCTTTCACCTTCTAATTTGCTTATATTCTTGACTTTGTGTATTTTCCCCATGTCTGTTAGAGCTCAAACAAAGCTATAGAATACAGTATTTTTCTGTGGTAAGACTGTCGGTAAATAATCAAGGTTTCGGCTGAATTCCACTTTTATATAAATTAAAATTCTTTGGATATCAAACATTACCATGTAACAGATAATTTAAAATAGTGTAACATAGAGCACGGCAATATCATGTAGTATTATGTTAAAGACGAGTGGAAAAATATAGGTACTTGGTACAGAAAGGCAGTAGTTGTTCAAGAAACAACAAAAAACCCCAGCAGCCTAGAAATGAATGGACACTCATGTCACAACCTGAATTATGAAACAGAAGACGTGCAAACTTATGAGAAACTATACTCATTTTTATATATTCCAGGGACTCAGAAATACCTCTAGCGCTAGCAATGGAAAGCACCATAGTTCTGTGAAGTGTGGTAGAGAGTATTTTAGAAAAAATGATCGGTTTTGGAATATTGACTCCTGCTCCACGTGAACATTTCATTCATCCCTTTTGCTGTTCAGCCTCTGGATTCCTTCCGTTCCTGCCCCAGCACCTTCTTGATCTTTCAGAAATCTTGTTTTCTTTCTTCTGAACCCATCAATACCACTATTATTCCGGTCTTTGGGAAAGCCATGTTGTCTGAGCCCTTTTCCATCATGTCCTTTGCCTTTTGCTTTCATACACACACCACCTCCGATACAGAGCGTTGCTGTTACTAATCACTGTATCTTCGCTGATCTTTCCCTGCTGCGTACAGAATGGTTGCTGCCGTCACACAGAGGCTGAGGGAAAAATCATTTGCCTTCTCCTCATGTATAAACCCTGCCCTTACCTCTAGTCATTCTTTCCGTAGTCAGAAGTCTAGAGGGAAGGTGTTCTCATGATTCAGTCGGCATCGTGCAGAACTATTTTAGTAACCAGTATCAGTCTAATTTTCAGCTCATTTTTCCAGTTGGTGATAACCTTCTCCAGGTGATTAATCACATACTTTACTAGAAACAACGAGCCACCCTGCTCGCTTACCAGGATTTTTTTTAAAATTCACTCCGACCTCTTTCTGTGATTTAATGTCGACAAATATACCACTGGGTGAGAACTTTATTTCTTTAATTTTGATGCTCATGCTTAGTCTCTCTGTGACTGTGTGTCTGAGAGCTTCACTTGCACTGCCTGCCCCGCTTGGAACTCTTCTCCTGTTGCTGCTGAGTCATTTCCTTTGCTTCAGTCTTTCAGACTTGTTTTGCTGTGCAGCCTATAACTGACATCCTGTTACACTTCGTATGCTATATGAAAATAAAATGTATTGTTCTGTAGAAGGAGAAAAATTATTGGATCCCTGTGTTTTTTCCACTTCTGCCTCTTCTGGAATACATCTGGTTGTAATGTTAAACTGAATTTTCAGAGAGATAAATGTCTGACTTCTCCCATTGTCACGATAAGTACATAGCCTATATAATATTGCAATATAGTTATGCAGACAACCACAGCTTTGTAAAATTAAAATTTTAAATCACTGCTCTTGTCTTCTAGCTCTTAACCTCTGGTTCTTACATCTGGATTTTAGCCTTAAGTGGATTGGTAAGTCTTACTGTTTTAAAAATCCTGTGTTGCTTAAAACGCTCTGTTATGTATACAATCAGTGCAGTACATTTGGACTCAAAAAGAACAGAAATTACTGACTAATGTTTTTATTTGTGACGGTAAGTAGAAAGTTTTGGACTTTAACTTCCAAAGATGTAAAGCACTGGCTGGGTGGTGAAAAACTGACAGACAACGAAAGAACTGGTTAATATTTGCAGGGTGCCACTGCTCTCTCACCCCCTAAAATTAATTTTACTGCTATGGATATAGCTTTAGACCCACAACTATAAATGAAACTATTGAGGAAACGGTAGAAATGTTTACCCTATTGGGTTTTTTGGTGATTGTTTTCAGTAAGCCTCCAGCTTTTATTCTGAAAAGCAGCTTTTAACAAGTTTGCTGTGAGGATTTTTCATGTTTTGCTGATCTCCTTGGACATCCGTAGTATAGCTGTTTCTCACTATGATAACAGCAGTAAGGATGTAAAATCACTTTCTTCACACCAGTCAGATGAAGTCGGTGTGGTCTGTCTTTTTCCTTTCTGACTGTGTTCTTAGTACTAAGGCACTTTGTGCTAAAACAGATTGTACTAAATCTTCCAGATTGTTAGATACTGATAAGCTGCTTCTAAAATTTTACAAACTCAGAAATTAGGAGCCCAGACTCTGATTTCTTGGCCCAAAATACTGCTGCTTTTCAAATAGTGAAAGTGCCACCTCTTCCAAAGAAGCTCATTATTAAATTAATGCAATCCTAAGAAGAACTTAAATTGTGCCCTTGCTATTTAGAACCTACTAATTTGAATTTGCAGTGAGCTCAGAGTGAGATGCCTGTGGACGCTTCATATATTGCTGCTATAACTCAGTAGTTTGGTCTCTTACCATTTGTGTTGACTATTCCGAAATATTCTGTGAGCTCGCAGGAGAACTAACAGAAGTGATGGAGCAGTAAATAGTGAAGTCTGCTTAGCAATTTGGTCTGACCATAAATATTGATGAAAACAGTGCAACTAACAAACCACAATTTCTCTCTCCTGGAGATCAGCCTAAACCTCCGTGCCCGCCTAAGGATCTGTGACTTCCTCCAAACGCAATACCCTTCCTGTTACTCTTCTGGCTCTTTTAATAGCCCTTCCTTTTGTACAGGTGTTCATTAGAGAGGGAAGGAAAGGAAAGGAAAGGAAACGAAAGGAAAGAAAAGGAAAGGAAAGACATTTTAACTCCCTCTTTCCTGGTGGCAGGAACTGTATGTATATTTGGTTGTACAGACTTATAAAAAACGGCTCAAGTTTTTTTTTCGTAATATATTATGTGGTTCTTATTTTAATTCCCTTTTAACGTATAGTTTTATTCAGCTGTATAATGCACCTTTATTAGGATTCTTTTTCATAAACGGCCTTTTTTTTGATTGTAGGTCGACAGTATGTTTTACATGGGTATAAATTGAGCTTTCTCTGTGTCATGGGAAGGCTTAAAAAAATTATCTGAAGTTTTCATATTGCTTCAGTCAGCATCAGTTAAGTCATCATCGATGATGATGTGCTTTCAGTCTCATTTTTTTTCCAGTAAGCAGAGAGCTGCACTCTACTGCTTTGTAATAAGTGCTACAATTTGGAAAGAAATTCGTGTTACGAATTTCAGCCATTTTTTGCACAGCATATCTGTCACAGTTCTGTGAATAAGAAGTCTCTTTTTTCCTCTTTTAGAAATTATAATTTGGCATCTTTTAGGAAAACTTGATAAAGGAATAAAGTTTCACAGTATATTAAATAATCTGAAGAGGGATATGAAATACTAAAAAGGCACCTTCTAGCACTACAGGTGTAGATACTTGATAACATACGTACATGTACAATTACAGAAATACGTAGGTTGTCAAAGCAATGTTAAGTCATGCCGACAACATATGTATTTTTGTAATTCTTACTGTTCTTGACATTTTCTAACATACTGTATCTTTGAATACAGTTGAATCAAATTGTTATGTATTTCTACAAAAAGGCTGAGTAAATCCATGAACACCAAGTCAGCTAGGTGTGATATTTAGTCACTAGTTCATTGCCTGTTAGACACTTCTCTCACTGTATTTTTAGCTCTAAAGATCACTTAGACACTCATATGACTGTATATGATGCTGTTCTGCAATTTAGCCTTTGTTGCACTTCTGCTTATGTGGAGTACTAAAATGGATGGTGCCAGCACGATTTCTGAATTGTTGTCGGTTTCCACTTTCTCTTCACTATGTTCTTGGTTTAGGTTTATTTAAATTCTCACAATTTGTATTTTATCGTGTAATGAATGCTAAATGGGATCTGACTTTCCATGTACAAGATGTGGCACTGGAGATTGATTTCTGTGTTCATCCTTGCTAATGCTGTTAGACTTCCCTATGAATTCCAGGCAGAGTGTAGAGCAACTGGGATTTGTACCGCCTTGAGTTCTTGCTTTCAGTGGTTTTGGGCAATGCCGTCGTTAACAGAAATGTGTTTGCATGGGTGCATGAGTCTATGTATGCAGGTAGGCATTGATGTAATGTGCCTGGTGATAGGGAATTGTAGACAATTTGTAGTTTGAGGCTGGATTGTTCTCAGTCACAGAGATTACAGCACATGTTTTGTTACTGGAATACAAAAGGTCTACTGTGTCTGTCTTTGCCATAAGGTATATCTTCCTTGATCTCGAATTTTGAATCAGCATAGGAATACACTCTTAAAGGCAGCTTCTTTACTCTCCAGATGAAACTGGAGTACCTCTGGATTATCATTCTTTTGGTATGTCAGTATGGGCCTGGTAATTTCAGTGGCTGGTATGTTGTGTAAAACGTGCTGTTTAAATACATGAGGCTTATTTACAAAGAAGGGAGAATTTAAGAAGTAGACTGCAAACAAATTCTCAAATCTGTTATAATCAGTAATCTGTAATGTCATTCATCTTATAAATTATAAGACTAATTTTGTTTCTTGTGATTTGTTTTGCCAGGAATATAGCATACTTGGTACATACAGTCCAGATTTGCTTCTTATGATAGGTGGTTTTTTTATGTCACAAAAGTGGGAAACTTCATATTAGAGATGCAGATGTATCATGAAAGTCATACATCCTATTTCCATTTGACTTCGAGCCAGAAATTCTTTCAATAGTTTTTTACAGAAGTGCTTCCTTATAATGCATCTCATTCAGTTTAGCGAAGGCCAGCAACTATTTCCCTATTCTTCTTTTCTTTAAAACAGGCAAAACGCCTTAGAAAATGGTATCCACTTGAATGTTTCATTGGACGCATATATATTAACCCATCTTCTCTCCCTTTCCGCGCCCCCCCTTGAAAATCTCTTGGGTTCTCAGTTTACATTTCTCATTGCTGTACTCTTGCAGGATTGAAATTTGGGGGGCATGTCAAGGCTCACTCGATCACAGCCACAGCATACCTGCTTCAAGAAGTAAGCTCAGGTTGGTACCAGCAGATGAGATACGCCTGCTGAGACATGCAGTTCCCTCGCTTCATTAGTAGAACGTTGTTATCATACAGATCACGTGCCAGGGTTTCTGCTACCCATGTAGCCAGGGCTATATTTCATAGGGGAGAGGTATCTTTCTGGCCCTTTCTGTGATTTTAGTGTTGTAGCCTCTTTCTTCTTGTCTAGGGTCATTTGTTTATTTGTTTGCAAGGAGATGTGCATTGCATAAAGTCCAAAATCTGGAATATTCTGCATCTTCTGTGAGCTGCCTTGAATGTATGTAGAGTTCAGTTCAGACCTTAGGAAACTGAAATTGTCTTAACCTTACAAATACTGAAGTTTCTAAAACCTTGTTTACTTTGCAGATTTCCCTAAGCCGAATGCAACAGCCTTCTGCACTGTTTCTGGGCTACGCTGCAATTGACTTTTCTCACATTGTATGAAAAGTTGCGCTTTTTATACTTTAGATATTGGAAAACTGTAGAGGATCTGTAATTTAGAGTATGTACTTTAAAGGCTTACGGTTAAGATAGAAAGTTCAAACAGTGTCGAGTGCATGGTTTTAATTTCAGTCCTGAGTTTTGAGTGCTTTAGTTCTTATTCATAATTTTGAAGTTGCTGTCTTGGTTTTACATAGACTACGGATATCTGTTGTTAAATGCTCCCGAGCGTACTTTGGATTGTTTTGAGTTCTATTTATTAAGAACTTTATTCATCCTTCCTGTTTGTTATTTGTTCAGCTGATGTGTTTTTCTATAGTGAATTCCTGTCCTTTAGGCTTGGCATTTATAGGATAAGATGTGATTGGGCTGGGGAGCGAAATATTTAAACCCAACTTTCATTTTTTTAATTCTTGTCTTAAAAGTAATATTATGTACTTAATACCCGATCAGACCTAAGAATCATTGATTTTCTTGTTGTTCTTCTTCCTCTTCCACATCTTTCTTAAGTGATTTTTGGACAATCCTTACTGAATTCTTTTTGTTGTTTTAGAAACTGTTTTGAAGGGAATGCAGAAGCATTTGTAATACCCCACAGTGCAGTATTCACACTTAAAATATCGTCCCTTCTACGTACTTAAAATTAGTGTTAAATATGTACTGACTTAAAATTAGTATTAAATATGTACTGACTTTTCTTGAAGAGAATCTTTGATCAGAGCCTGATAATGCAGTTACCTCTACATTCATGCCCTGCAATGTGTCCTTCTTCATCCTCCAGTCACTCTGGACATCCTCCAATTATCCACGTTTAGTCTTAAGTAGATCTTTAGTCAATGTCCAAGTATGAGATTCCTTGAATTCTTTGTAATTGTGTAATTATAAATGGTGATTCAGGGAAGTCTACTTACGTTTAGTTAAATGTCTTGCGGTAGCGCTTTGGTGACACAGAAGAGAGTCAGTCTAATAGGATTGAGTTTGGATAATTTAAAAAACTATATGAAAGCTATGCATTAATTGTTTTTATGCTGTTGATTTATAACCAAGCAATATGTGGAGTTCAGGGTCAATAAAATTAATTATTTGCAATAACTGAAATCACA